TTTATAGTAATTTACATTGGCTTTCCTTGTAATGAATGGAATTGATGTTTCTGAAATTATTTTTAAAAAGCCACAAAAATGATAATGGAAACAAAATCTATTTGCAAGTAATATCTAATATACCGATTTAAAAATTTTAGTGCATTTCAAAGGTCTTCTTTTCTTAAGCTCTCTTTTATGAGGAAAGGCTGCCACTTTATTTGTCAATTTGTGTATTATATGATAAATTACAGGAATATGACTATAGTTCTGTGATCTGACAGCATGTACTAAACACACCACAATGAATATTTTGATCAGTGACTCTGCTGCTGGGTGGCACCCCCTGATTAATTAAGAGCTTTGTATGACTTCTCCCCTCCTGTTCTTCTTGGAGGAGGGCACTGTGTGAGACCAGCCGAGCTGCCTCTGTGCTCTGAAGTCAGACCTGGGTTTAAATTCATTTGCGGTGGTGGTTGTACAAGTTCTATGACCTCCCTGAGCTTCAGTTTCTCCCTAAATCAATGGATACAATGATGATAATTCATAAAAGGTAAAGTACTCATTTCAGGACTTGGCACAAAGTATGCATTTAATGAATTGTAATGGGTGTTGTCTTCCCTTTTCTTACAAAGAGGAAGTTGTTCTTTGGCTACAGATGAGTTGCAATTATTAGATTATTGGATGCGTGACAGAGAGAACTTAAGGTAGCTGAACCGTTAATTACACTTGCTGCCAGAAACTTCCTCCACAAAGGTTCTCAGCCTCAGCTGCATGTTAGATCTTCGCAGGAGCTTAAAATAATATCGGTGCCTGGGCCCTGCACCTGAGGGTTCTTTAATTTGGGATACAGCCTGGCAATAGAATTTTTCAAATCTTTCTAGTAGGTACAGCCTTTCCTAATGTAGAGCCAAGGACTGAGAACTGCTGTTTTAAAGCAACAGTACCTGAGGGTTACTCTGTTCTAGGTTTCAAAGTGTTATGATGGAGGAAAAACTTTCCCAAGAGAGTTCCTGTAGACCAGAGATTTGCCTGTGACCAAACTTTCACTGGAACACAGCCGTGCTCATCTGTTTATATGTGGTCTGTGGCTGCTGTCATGTTGCACCAGAAGAGCTGAGTAATTGTGACAGAGACCATATGACCTGCAAAGGCTAAAATACTCCTCTTTGGCCCTTTAGCAAAAATCTTTCTGGCCCCTACAGTAGGCCACTTAAAGATGGAATCATAGTGCCATTTTCCAAGATGCATTCAAGAAAGTCAACTTACTACACAAGAATATCTCCTAGATCTTGTTCGAGTTCTTCCTTCCAGGAAAAGTCAAAATAATGTGTGGTGTTATCTTCAAAAGTTAATAGTTATATGCTGTAATGCATTGATAGAGGCATTTTTGCTACTTTTTAAAATTCAGTACTTACCACTTCTCTTTAAATTTTAAGTTTTGTAGAGATTGTAATAATCTACTTACCAAATTAATATAGGACACTCTGACTTAACTTGCTGGCTAAAAATGCAGAATGCTGAAATGTTCCTCATTATCAAATGTACTCACTCAGCCACGAATGCCTTTTTAAACGATGCTGGCAGTTGAGAACACTTTATAGCTTTTTCTGTTCTGTTGTCTTTTTTTTTTTTTTTTTTTTTTTTTGAGAAAGTTCTTAGCAGAAGCAGACTCTTGTGCATTTCCCTCCCCTGCCGCCTCCTGAAAGTAGAGCGGCTCCTGCGGAGGAGGAGCTGGGTGGGGCAGCGGTGCAGGTCACAGGGGGGTGCCCCGCAACATGGCCACGAGCTTTTCATCACCTCCCCTCCTCAGCCAATCAGGACCTCCTCAGGAAACGTGTCCCCCTCTTTCCCTGCCCCTAAGCACCAGCCCCCCTCTTTGAACCGGTTAGTAATTATGGAAGCCCTCCTGAAAGAGCCCAGATGCTGTCATCCGTTCATGCTCTGCTGAAGAGAACCTCCCTCCTGGGCAGCATCCTGGCTCACTCTTTGCGCTGCCTCAGCATCCGAGGTGCTGATGGGGCAGGAAACCTCATTAGCGTTTTAAGAGAGTTTAACAACAGTTCTTAGCTAGACAGTGGACATGGGACAGGTTTCATCAGGAATGCCATATTTGAACCTTTCTGGGGCTAGTTTAGTCCTTACCTCAATACGAGAATGCTTTTCTTACGAAGGATGGGGAGACGCGTAGGTCAATTGCGCCTGGAAAACGGGGAGAATTGTGTAGGCATAGTGTCATCCCCTAGGTTTTCGTTGCTCTTTGTCTGTGTGTCTCCCGGGACACTGGGAACCCTCCGCTTCGACGTTCACAACAGACGCTGAGTTGGGTGCAGAGATCTTGGTGAATGCCCAGCTTTTCTCGCATCACCTCGGATCACCGAGCTTCATTCCGGGGAGGTCAAGTGAACTTAATCACCGGCTGTGCGGCTCAAGTGTTGCGAGCGCAGACTGCGACCTTCCACAGCGGCTCTCGCAGGCCTCGGAGCTGTGGGAACCAGAGCCCGGGAGGGTTTGCCGCGCACACAGGAGCCTCTTTGCAAGATGGAAACATCTGGGCAGCAATGAGCATGTCCCTTCACATGTGTAGCCTCTAAACACCCGGCACAGGGGGGCTGCTGAGGGAGGAGAGGGAAACTGTGCCTGTGTCTCATCATGGGACTGTCTCATCAGCAGTGCTGGAATGAAGTGATTCCCCTTAGTTTTTCACGTCTCCTCCTCTTCACGAACACTTTCTTTTCTAATAAAGGAACATATATGGATAGGTAGTTACATGTCACACCTGTTAACTCGGTATTAAAAAATTTTTTTAAACATTCCATTTGAGAATTTTGAAAAACTTTTTTTGCCCTTATTTGCTAAGAAAGCTACATTTCTTGGTGATATAACGAAGCCTTTGTCAGGCACATGGGAAAGTAGGCTTTCCTTTGCCCCTAGGCCCTCCTCTGAGGCTCAGATTGCAGCCCAGTTGCCACTATCTTTTAGTCACCAAAGAATCGGCTTCTACCACCTGCTCGGTCTCCTCGTGTCTTTCTCAGGGTGAGGAAGTAGTGGAAACAAATTGGACAGATAGCTATGGGGACAAACCATGACCTGAAGGCACCCTGCTATGCTGAAGGTTTGGGGGCTATCCTGTTGGTGACGAAGACCCACTGAGGCACTCGGGCCCTCAGGCCGATGCCAGAACTGGCCTGCAGAAGCCCCCTGGCAGGAAGGCATGGGATGGGCGGGCTCGGGAGGCTCTGGGACCGGGCAAAGGGATGGGAGCCCGGGGAGGGGGGGGATGGTGGTTTTCACTTCCGTTCCGTTGCACCCCCCCGCCCCCCCGGGCTTTGGTTTTAAACGTTCTAGCATAGACTCCTGCTTACCGTGGAGTTGCCTGTTATTTCAGTGGCAAAAAACAATAAAATAACAAAACAAATGAAAATGCTGAATTTTAAAAAAACTTTCATTGTCGACTGATTCCTTTGGATTGTGCGGAAGCAAAATGATTGAATTCTGAGGAGTCGGGTGTTCAGCGGAGTGCGGCGTTGCCATCAGGTCAGGGCGGCTAGAAAGGGACCCCCGCGCACATCCGTATCCCGCGCAACTGCGGCTGTCTCCAGGTGAAGAAGGCAGTCCTGTGAGAAGTGTGATTGCCCCTCAGGACAGGAGCGGGTCTGTGGATCCCAGCGTTCCTTTCCCATGGCCTTGGGTTCCCAACAGGACACGCTGCTGCTGGTGTCGTTGTCCACACAGGTGCGGTGACGTGGGCTCTGAGGAAGCAGCCCTGTGTTCACATGTCTCTTATTCTCGAGGCTCGTATTTTATTCCAGAAAAACTTCTGGATGGTCCTGTTTGAAGGAATGTCTCATAGGTATTGGGCTGCCCTGGGTTTTGAACCAAACTCAGCTTCTGTGAAGTTGTCCACTTCACCCAGAGAAGCATAGACCCCGTGTCTCCAGCTTGTGGGAACCTGGGAAGGGTGTCACTTATCCTTTTGTGTAGCAAGTCTGAGTTAAGTACTGCGGGTACCAGCCTCTGTGCTGTACGTGGGGGACGCAGTGAGGAAGAAGGCACAGCCGTTATGGGGCAGGGGAGTTTGGGCATAGAAGCAAGTGTGGAAGCATCCCAATGCCCAAAATGCTGAAGATGCTTCTGGAGATTTGGTGGGTCCTTTGCCCTTGACACTCCTGAAAGGGGGGAGGGGTGGAGAAGGGAGAAAATTAAAGATCAAAGAGCACAGTTTGAGTTCAAAAAATCTCAGAACCCTTGGGGATTAAGAAAAAATTCCATAAGCCTACAGAATAATAAACTTAAGGTGGATAATAGTCTTAATGTGAGTCTTTTCATTTACCTAAGAGCTAGAGATATTTCCATGTTGGAATGTGGGCTTAGCTTTTTGTTAGTTGGAGCCTACCTTTTAGTTTTATCTTTTATATCCCTGTGGTTCCTAGTGATGAAAGCCCCTGCAGTGCTCAAGAGGGATGCCTGCCCCCGCGGGGTCAGGAGAGAAGAGGGATGAGCCAGGGTCCGCGCCGGATCCTGAATTCGCTGGGGGTGCGGGGTGGGGGAGGGGGCGCAGTCTGGGTCACGGGCTTGAGTTCTGAGACAGCTCGCCCATGGCAGAGACTCCCTACGGTCAACCACAGGGGTGGCTATGACATCTGGGGACTCATTGCTGACTTTCTGGATTAATCTATAGTTCCGAGCCTTGTATTGCCACTCACAAGTACCTTGTAGATCTTAGATGCATAAGTCTCCTTTACTTTATTTCATTGAAGTCAAAGTAACACGATATCAAAGAGAGTAGCACATTGCCAATTTTCCTGATATCTTATCCTAATAGAAAACATTGTATCTAAGGAAAAAAATATATTAATGTGTATATGGGAAGACAGGAGAGATGAAAAGAAAGGCAATGCTTCCTCTATTTCTGTATCGTTATATTTTTACATTGTATAAGCACTTTCTTTATCTAAGCATGAGATAGGTAAAGGTTTGTAAAGTTTTCCTGATAAATAATGGTCCCTCTCCTCTTTCAGCAGATTTCTGCGCATGGCAGATCTTCTTCCAACATAAATGGTGGACCTGAACTTGATCGTTGCATGAGTCCTGAAGGTAGTTCTCAGTCTGATGATTACTTTTTTAAGGGAAGTCACCTGTGTGAATGTGGTGGCCACTGCACATCCACTTGTGCTAAATTATCTTCCTAAACAGCGATGTGGTCATGTCACCAGTTGAGCCCTAGTGGGTTGTTAATTAGACTGTTCCAATTTCAAAGGGTAGACTTGAGCTTTGTTTATTTTTCCTTTGAGGCAGTCTGCTGGACTCCTGAATGCAGACTCTCCTTTCTCTCAATTAGTTAACAAGTGTTTCTTTCTTGGATGTCTGCAATGTGCTGGGATACATTGTGCAAAGCAGTTGATCTTAACCACTTCCCCCTCCTGTTCTGCACCCCCTACTACCAATACCTGTTTAAGAGGACTCTGAGCCAGGAATTAGCTTTAGCAAGACACCCTAGCTGGCTAGAATTTTCTTTTCTAGGTAATCTTGAGAAATCTTAAGAAAATTTCTAAGATTATATCTCAACATTATACCCTTCTATCCTCCTTTTTTCTCAATTTTGACAAAAATGTTTAAAGTTTGGTTAGAATTCTTTTTGACCCAAAGCTAATCACTTATTTTAGCTGATATTTCAGGGATATGTTATGTTTATTGATTATGGTGGTTTCTGAGGCCAACTAGTGAAGTCAAAAGAAAATCGATGATTCAGGTATTCTAGCAGACAGTATGCTCAAAGACTTTCCTTAGTTTTACCATAGATTTAGAAATAAATGTATTGCAACTTGTTATTTGACAAGTATTTGGGAATCAAGATGAAATGTTAATGTGTTCTTTCAACTTTGCATTTATCCGTTTTTGCAGGAGTGAATGGAAACAGGTGCTCTGAATCATCGACTCTTCTTGAGAAATATAAAATTGGAAAGGTTATTGGTGACGGCAATTTTGCAGTAGTCAAAGAGTGCGTGGACAGGTGAGTGGTTAGTGAGGATATTCATTTTTCCACCTACACATACACTTCTCCTTGGAATTTATTTTTCCCTGAGTGAATAAAAGGTCTTCTGAGGGAGTCGCCCCTCGGGGCGGCTGCTTTGCATACCTGCAAGCAATTTAACAGGGAAAACATGTGCATGCAAATAGAGTATGGGCCTGCTTTGGATTTGGACTGAGCAATATGTCAGGTCCCATCCATGGACCAGAGAAAAATGGGAAATGAGATGTATTTTTTACAATATCTCCTATATCATTTATCTGTACCAGGCACTGTTCTCAGCACATTAATTCATTTAATTCCCACAATAACCCTCTCATGTAATACTTAATTGCATAGACCACTAGTTCAGGAGACATGAACTCTGACTCTATTTAAGAGCAGTATCTTAAACTTTTGCCTATATTAAAATTATATATATTTTTTGCCCAGATTTATTTTAAGGTCCTAAATTCTCAATGGTAAGAAATCCATTCTATTAAATCCCGGGCTTTTTGTAAACAGTATTAAAACTGGAAAAGACTCAGAACAGAGTCTTGTGTTTCTGTGCTACTTTCTGACCTGATTGAAGAGGTCATTTTTGCTGTTTGTGGGGAATTTTCCAGAAAGCTCTTGTAACTACAGTTGTTCCCTTCTGCTAAATGTCCAGTGAGGCTTTAGTGCTCCCTGAATTGATACACAAAATAGCTGCAGGTCCTCTGGGCCAGCTCCTGTCCTCTAAGCCATTCCATGGCCTGTTAGGGACCTGGCTCAAAGCAGGAGGTAAGGGGTGGGCAAAAGAACCCTAAGGTCACACTGCCTCCTGAACTCCGCAGCTGGTCCATACCCCCATCGCCCCCCCCCCCCCCCACCCTGCCCTTGAGAAATTGCCTTCCACAAAACCAGTCCCTGCTGCCAGAAAGGTTGGGGGCCACTGCTCTAAGCCCTTTCGCTTAGCTCTGGTACACAGACTGCCTCCCAAGTAATACATTAAGCGTCTGAAGTATGACATCTAAAGGCATGTTAGAAACCTGAGGCAGGCTTTGGTCTATGCTATGTGGAAGCAATTTAAATAAAAGTTATTTTTCCAAGGTGGCCGCCTCAGTGTGCGCGGTGACCGGCTGGCAAAGGCTGCTGAACTTGAGAGAACGAATATAGTCCAAGGCTGCTGCAGAGTTCCATGATGGGCTGGTCCCTGTTCTCAAGGATGGGTTTTGGCATGTTCAGATTAAAATATGCTGAAGGCGATTACATGTTAAATAACAGCATCAAGAGTCTTGTGTCCGAGTAAATGATCTCTTTAGTGCCAGAAATGGGCATTTAAAGGTCCAGATACGATGGGACCAGATGGAGTTTGGGCTGAGAAATAGATGTTGACAGTCTGGTGACTCTTCAGTTTTGAATTATGGCCTAGTTAGTACCTAATAGATTAATGTAAAGATATATAGAGAATAGGAAATTTTTAGCTACTTTGATTCCTTTTTCCTAATTTTGTTCTGCCCCCTAAGAGACCTCTTTTGAGATTTAAGTATGAAAAAAGTTTTTTTGTCCATGTCTGATACAGCAGAGTTTAAATACCTTTAATATGTAAGTTACTTAATAATGTTATCACTATTAATATTTATAAAAGTGAATTGCCAGTGCAGCTTTGGATTTTTTTCCTTTTGGGAGGCATCCCTCTCCCTGAGCCCACCCAGCATTCTCTCCGACGTGCGGAGGAGGAAGCCAGCCTTCCTTCCCGGCCCCCTGTGCTGGAGAGGAAGTCAGGGATGACGATGCTATGTTTGACTTACGTCGTTAATGGCCTTCCTCTGATCATTCCTTAGGTCCACTGGGAAGGAGTTTGCCCTGAAGATCATAGACAAAGCCAAGTGTTGCGGAAAGGTACAGTCCACATAACTGCTTTGCAAAAGAAACTGCAGCACCTTGGGAAGGTGTTTATAGGGCTGAAGGCATTGAAGTCGGGGTCTGATGGGACCGTGACAGGAGTAGACCTCTGATAACAGTGGCGGGGACGCTCTGAAGTTTCCCTCCCCCCCCCGCCCCCCCCCCCCCCCCCGCCATTTCCAGAAACCGTAATCCTAAACAGTAAGTTGATTTGCGCTTGGCTCTCACTATCAAAAAACATCAGTTCTCTTCTCTGAGAGATGCGTGTTTTGAAATAAAACGCAGCAACACACCAAAAGTGTGTCTAGAGCCACTAGGAGTCTGAGGTTTCACCCCACTCTCAGACTGACACGGTGGCCTCCCCGCTTCACAGCTGCTGGCGGGAGGCACAGCTCCCCTGGGCCAGAGACCAAAAAAAAAGAAAAGAAAAGAAAAGAAAAGAAAAGAAAACCCCCCGTGATTCCTTGTGGCCCAGCCCGTGGCGCAAGCCCCATGTTTGTGTTGGTCCCCTCATGCGCTGGGTCCCACAGGAGGGGCAGCCTGTGCACACAGTCGGGTTTGCGTCCCAGCAGGGATCCCCGGGCTGGGGAAACCCCCCAGTTTGCGAGGGCAGCTAGTAAATCTAGCCAACCCTTGCCCCAGAGGAGGACATTGTTTTTGTTTTCATGGTCAGGAAACAAATCTGCCCTCTGCCCTGGAGGGGGATCCTCTGTGTTCCAAGGGTGTTTACTGTACAGACATCCTTGAAGGGCTAGTTTGTTTTGTAACAGAAGCTGTGCAGAAGCACCAGGAAGATTTGGCTTCCCAGTTGGACTCACTTTTTCCTTCTGTCCCATACTCCAGATGGAACTAGGCATGCTACTAGGGTCCTGAGATTTTTAAAAAAAATAATTTTTATTAAATTTATCAGGGTAACATTGGTTAATAGGATCATACAGGTTTTAAGTGTATATTTCTATAATACATCATCTGTATATTGCACTGTGTGCCACCACCTAAAGTCAGACCATCCAGATATTTTAACTGGTTGAAAAAATTATATATATTCCATAACAGTGACAACAAAGACCTTTTTAGACTCTGGGAGCCTAGCAGTGAGTGTGGGCTGTGGAACTTACTCCAGGACCAGGGACATGAGGCTGCTGAGGTCATGAAATGTGGCTGATCTGAATTGAAAGATACTATATGTATAGAAATATATAACAGAATTGAAGACTTAGTACTAAAAAAAGAATGTAAGGTATCTCATATCTTTTGTATTTGATTACATGTTGAAATGATAATATTTTTGATACATTGGGTTAAATAAGTAATACTAATTTTACCTGCTTTATGTGTGTTTTAATGTGGCTTTTAGAAAATTTAGATTGAATATGTAGATCATAATTATAATTCCACTGAACAATGTTGCTGTAAAGCTGCATTGTATAAAGTTTAATCCTTGCTGTGCCTCTTTTTACTGTGTGACCGTGGAAAAATTACTTAACACTTCTGTACCTCTGTTTCTCTTTCAAAAACATGGTTGTTATTAGTACCTTAGACAAGATTATTGTGAGGGTTGATTGAATTAAGGCATGGAAAACATGTAGAAAAGTACCAGCATATAATGAGAATATAATGCATTAACTGTTAACAATACTAATATGCCTGAGAATTTATAATTAAGAAGATTTTATGTGATAGTAGTGATTTGATATCCATGGAACTCCTAAACTAGTCTTCACTGGGCATTTACAAATTTGTGTACTTTTAACAGAAAACTTAAAGTACAGGATTCAGCAGAAGGATCAATGCCTGCTTGAGTGTGGATGGTAGGGTAGTAATATGGGTGTAATAATTTATAGTTTTAATTTGAACATTTCACCTAAAATAGTGTGCTTGAGTATGATATTGTTATGTTGCAGAATTACATACTTATGATTTTGTAATAAAAAAACGGGACATTATTTGCCCTGTATTATGGTAAAGTTTTAGAAAAATCTTCTTAGAACACCAGAATGGAAAATCCAAGAGACAAATTTGTCTTACGCTGTTTTTTTTTTTTTTACTACACTGTGACAACTGATGAAGCAATCTGTGCAGAATGCCCCACTTTTCTTTGAATAACTAAGGTTTTTCTCAATTTTCTTTCATTCTGTGTGCTTTTCCTTATTGTTCTAATGATAATGTTAAGTTTTTCAGCTGCGAAGCCTTTCCCCGCACGCAAGGTGGTGCCGCTCTTTGTACCCGGTGGTGTGGGACTGAGGCAGATTGTGCCATGAGTTCGGAAGCCAAGTTCTAAGCAGCTGTATTATTTTTTTTAAAAAGTAAAAAAAAAAAAAAAAAAGGCTGGGGTAGGGATATTTTCCATCTGATTAAAATTTAAGCAGCCATTTTATTATGATCTTTAAAAGAAAGATCTTTCTATGCAAAAAAAAAAAAAAAAAGCAGCCCCCAGTGCACTGAGTGCTGCAGCACAAGCATAGGGGCCGCACTGGATCTTGTTTTCCCTGTTGCTGAATGGCATTCTCCTTCTGTAGCTCATGATGATATGTCTGTTTGTTTCCTCACAATCCTGGAACATGCATTTCCATGGTGACGCTATAAAATTAAAATTCCAAAACTTGATTTGTTCCAAATAAGCTGATTATCCCATTTGATTGTATTTTTAGAAAAAGTAGGGAATTTGTTTTTTAAAACAAAATGTAGAGGGAGGCATTCAGCCACTGTTCTGGGTATCGTTGGTCATATCTGCATTATGGGTTGTGCACAGAAAATTAAAAATACTGGAAGTAATATCTGCCTTCTATTAAAATGTATAATCTATCCAGGCTTGGACACATAGGAACTTTGCACGTTACTTTTAGTGACTTGCAAAATGGATGTACCAATTTTACAGATAAAGAGACAGAGATTGAGGTTCGGCAGCTTCCCACAGTCGCACTGAGGCCAGCAGGGACTGGCCGTCCGGGCCAGCTGGTTACTCAGCCTGTACCTTGGCCAGTCTACCTTCCTCCCTCTCCAAATGTATTCATTTGTTCATGTAATAACAACCTGGGGGGAAAATCCTTAACCACTCTGATCTTCTCTTTGCTTTCCTGTAGTATACATGAGCATTATTAGATAAATTTACTCCTTTACCTAAAATTTGATATGTGTGCAAGATGCAAAGAGTATTATGAGAGTCTGGGGGGAAGCATGTGAGAGAGAAGCAGGTGATCTGTGAAGACACCGCCGCGATAGAGCAAGAAGCCTTTCACGGGACTTCAGCAGGGGGCGGGACTTCAGCAGGAAGCAATGCGAGGACAGCGTGCCAGCCTGAGCAAGGGCCCGGAGCGCAGACAGCGTGTTTGGGTCTTCTGAACAGGAGATGATGGCAAGCTTTGCCTTGGAACTGGATTTATGGGAGCTGTTGAGAAATCTATGCTGCTTGTAAATTCAAGAGTTTTTCCACGACTAATATTCTAAATAATATTCCTTCTAAATGAGTATCTACTGATTCCCACAGTGTCCGAGGCTCTGAGCTTTCTATTTTGGTGCTTAGAAGTGGTCCTTCCTTCTCTTCCCACAATTTTGCACTCGTTATCCGTGTGTTATGGGCCCAGGCAGGACATAAATCCAAATGAATGTTGTGGTAGTTTCTGAAGGATGTTGGAATAAGTTAGCACAGAGTGGGTGGTGTCCCACAGCAGAAATTCATTCCCTCACAGTTCAGGAGGCCAGAAGCCTGAGATCCCCACTCCCTCTGGAGGCCCCGTGAGCGTCTGGTCCTTGCTTCTAACTAAGTAACTTCTGGGAGCTGATGGTGGTCCTTGACTCCTGGCCACCTCACTTTGCCTCTGCCCCTCCTTCATGCCGCTTCCTCTTCTGTATGGGAAATCTCCCCCTGCCTCTTACCTCGTAGGGACTGTTGCAAAGGCACCCCGATAACCCAGAGTTATCTCTTGCAGAGTCCTTAACTGCAGTGGTAAGACCTTTTCTGTCTGTACCGCAGACATTCCATACAGTGCTTTGAATGTTCTGTCTGACTGTATTATCCTCAGCAAGCGATAGAAATACCCCTATAAAGCCAGTGTTGGTCAAGAGCAGGGCATCGTGTGTTTACTCATTCACTCAAGCTCTCCAGGGCTCACTGTGCTGGTTACTGGAGAACAAGGTAAATAAAAATCTCCAGGACAGGAGTGAGAGCTGCGTTGGGCAAGCAGAGAGCAATGAGGGCAAATAAGAGGCACAGGTAACCCAGCCATGGTTGAGCAGGAGAGGCTATTTAGAGAAGGTGAGATCTAACCTGGTTCTGAGGAATAAACAGAAATTCACCAAGGAGTGTGGAAAGAAAGTTCCAGACAGAGAAACTACCTGTGCAAAAGCCTAGAGGTCTCGGTGGGAGACTGCAATGGGGGTAGGGGTGAGTGGGGGGCTTCAGAGGCTGTTGAGAAGGGAGACCCGGCAGCGATGGGTGACGGGTGGGCTGCAGGGGGGGGGGCGGAGCTCCTCTCTACTTTGGGCAGCCAGGTTCATTCAGCGAGACAGGACTGGGGTGGGGGTTGGGGAGGACTGTTTTATGGGGCTAGGAAGTGTGGAGACAAGATGATTAGTTTGGTTTGGGAGAGTTGTTTATTCCCTAATCTCCTCCCTCCCTCTCTTCCTCCAGCTCCTCCTCCTGCTTTTGTCTATCTCTATCTTTTTTTGTAGGATAAAAACCACCCTGGCCAAAGATAAGGGGTATCCTTTGCCAAGTTAGCAGTTTTCTTTGTCATTCACTCTCCCTCGCAACCGGGGAACACTGCCATCCAATGATTCATATGTAAATCATTGGGAGTCAAACCATGAATCACTTAACATAAATCATGGTAGATGATCGAATAATGTAAGTTCAGCACAGTTCAAGACAAAAGTGATGTTTATGTTGTATTTAGAAATATTCTCCTGGAAAATGTAATCTAGAGAGTATTTTTATGCATTAGAAGCAAAGATTACATATGGGTTCCATGAGAAATAGGAAGATAACATTTGGAAAGATTTTCTTGCGTTGCTTTTGTTTTGCTTGTGCTGTAGTTCCTTCATAGGCAACTGGACAGGCATAGTGGGGGGTGGGGGACAAAGGCTAAGAGCTCCCACATCCCCATGATGTTTGCTGTGTGCTTAGCATACCAGCCGTTGTCAAATAGGATGCAGTGAGCTGAGATAATAAGTAATGATAGAGAAACCGCTGCTGCGCTATTTGAAATGTGACACCGTTGGTGGTCCTGGGGCAAGTTCCATGGTACACCCCAGAAGACTTTCTGCCGTGCCTTTTTATTGAAAAAGATAACTTTGGGGAGGTGTAGTCTCCTTAGGTGGTAGACATCTTACTTTACCTCCAATCAGAGAGAGTGCTTGGGTTCCAGGGATGGGGATACGCACCGTTGTCAATCTAAATTAGCATCACAAACAGGTAAATTTCCTGCTTGGAGGAGGGAGGTGAGGAGGCGGGAGAACTGAAGTGATAAATCCTTTTAGCTTTTAAAAAATGCCTTTTTCAGTTTAGTGGCAGTGACCACTGTTGTCTTAGCTTCAGAGAGTGAAATAAATTCACTGGTTCACCTTTACATGGCCACAGAAGTCCAGCTAACTGCCCTTTAGTGTGGGTAAGGACTTTGCTGGGCACTCGTGAGGTAGAGGCTATGAAATAGCCATGCAAATGCGGAGTGTTTGTGGGGCCTTTGTCTCTCCAACCACCAGGGACTGGCTGCACAGCTGCGTCCTTGGGGAGGCACCAGGGGGTGTTTGCTGCTTCTGAGGCCGCAGCTCTGTAACTCGGGCATGGGGGTCAGGCGCAGGTAGGCAGCTCTGTCCCCAGACCCCCAGGTGAGGTGCATTAGGGTCTGAGAACCACCGTTTTTTTTCCCCCAGGAGATTTGGAAGCATTTGCTGAGCCCTGAGCCGGCCAAAGATTACCCAGCCCTGCTCATTAAGGGATAGATTTCCCTTCCCCGCTCAAAGCCTGGTGTGGTTCTGCCTTGCTGCCCAGCGCAATGTGATACAGCCTCTGGTTCCTGTCTTTTCAAGGAATTTAAAACATGCTCAGCTTTGCAGCTATCATTTTCATTTGCAAAAATTCCAGCTGACTTTTACCAAAGCAGTCCCCTTGGAAAGGGGATGCTGTGTAGCACAACAAATGTGGGCTTGGATATCAGGAACCTCAGGTTTGCCTTCTGCCTCGAAGGGCTGTTCTAAGGGTAAAGTGTAGGGATGTCACCCGAGGACCTGGTGCAGCAATGGACAAATTAGTGACCAGATTCCCGGTCAGCGATTGTTCTTTTCTGTCCCCTGCCTCTGACTAGCGTTGGCCCTGTCATCTGTCAGCATTCCCTGAGTGACCACTTGGACAAACGCAGTGCATTCAATGCTCAGGAAACACAGCCCACCCTGTGCAGGAGATTGTAACGGAGCTTCTCTGCATGTTGCTTGCTGTTGTTACTACTCATACTTCCAGCTATTGTCAGAAAGCATTTGAGATGGTTTACAGTACAAATCCATGTACACATGGATGAATGAAGATAAGAGAGGAACCATAAAAAAGTATCTTGAACTAGAGATAAGATAATCATGTTCCCACTGCAGTGGAACATTAAACCTAGTTCTGAAATTCATGATAGCAAAGGCAATAGGGAAAGTATAAGGGATACACACATGCATGGATATATGTGTATTTAGGTAGCAAATGATGTCTCTTATAAGGTAAATTTTATATAAAAGCTATATTCAAGTATCTGGAATGTGTCAGATGACAATTAGCTAATTTTACAGAGTGTACCCTAAATTCAAAATAATTTATTATTACAGTTAATGAGGGTTGACAAATGTGATGTTATTGAGAGGTTTTCGTGTCTCATGGTAAAATGAAATAATAGTTGTTCATGATTCATGGTGAGTAAACATTTTGCTATAGAGCTAACCCCAACTGCGTGACTCACCAGGGCTGATAAGCAGGTGGTGTTTTCAGAGGAGAAAATGAGACGGGGCCACTAGTGGTCCCCACGGTACTGTATGTTCCCTGATATCTGAAATACAAGATGATACGGTACATCCTCTGGTGAATGATTTCATTGCCAGTCATAGAGGAGGGAAGTTGTTTTTTTTCCCCCATGAATTTCAACATAAATTTCAAATTCATATTAGCACTGGTTTAAAACAACAAACACATTTTAATGCCCACGCCCTATGCCACGAGCATGCCAGGTTTCCTCGTCTGTCTGGCCTTTGTCTCAGAGCACACTGAAGTCCAAACGCGGTTCCAGCCGCATGGTGCAGCACAGCAGGCCGAAGCGCTGGCAGCTCATGACTCTTAAGGTGTAGGAAGAGGTGAAGAGGCCAGAAGGCACTGTTTTATGTGCCAGGACAGAGCCACTGGGTCCTTCGGAGGGATGTTTTGGAGGGTGTCTGTTTCTCTTTGTTAGTGACAGTGAGCTGGCACCCTGACTTGGCCTGTCCCTGTGGAAATCAACGAGGCCAGCATTTGTTTTGTCTCTGCACCCAGGGAGGCTCAGGGAGGTCCTTCGGTGTTGGGTCTGCGGACCATGTCATTCTCCAGAACACAGGGCCAAGCAGAGGCTTCTGCGGCATCTAACGCAGCTCTCTCTTCCCTTTGTCTGACAGGAACACCTGATTGAGAATGAGGTGTCCATCCTGCGCCGAGTGAAGCACCCAAACATCATCATGCTTGTTGAGGAGATGGAAACGGCCACTGAGCTCTTTCTGGTGATGGAATTGGTCAAAGTAAGACGATGGAGAGATTTCAAGAGATTTCCTTGGTGCCTAATTCCAAAACTTAACTGTAGCCTTGAAGGACCTAATCAGAAAAGGGTTTTGCTACCTTGAAACTTTGTTTATAATTGTCCATTTTAGTGGATTATTAAAATCTACTGCAGGCTGAGGAACTGTCTTTATTACTTTCATGGGATAGCCATGGTTGATGCTTTGATGTGTTCTTTTGTGTCCTGTAGGGTGGGGACCTCTTTGATGCAATTACCTCATCAACCAAGTACACCGAGCGCGATGGCAGTGCCATGGTGTACAACCTGGCCAACGCCCTCAGGTACCTCCATGGCCTCAGCATCGTGCACAGAGACATCAAGCCGGAAAACCTCCTGGTACGTCACCCCAGCTTTTGCTCTTCCTGCTCATGCCTCTCTTCCTGTAGAATGACCACAATCACATGCAAACAATGACATTTTAGAGTCCAGACCAATCCTGCAATAAGGGACTGAGTTTCAATTTTGAAAATCAGTCTGACACAAGTCCATGATCACAAAATGTTAATGAGTTTCTTCAGTTGATCTGCATTTCTGCATTTATTGTTTACCAGATGGTACTGTCTGAAGAAAGGTAAGCAGGGAAATTATTTTGAGGCAAAATGTTCTGAAGAATAAATTGGAGATGGAACCAAAACATGAGGGTTCATTTAAGTGCTGGACATAACTTTGGACATTCTAGTACATTCACCTTTACAGATGTGGAAAGTGAAACCCAGAGAGGCTAATTTTTCTTGCTTAAAAGCCTGTTTGCCCCATTGTTCTGCAGAAGAAAGCCTTGCACTAAGGCACGCAAGGTGCTTTATAATCTGGCCCTAATTTACCTTTCCAGCCTCCCCTCTGCCACCAGCCATTCCCCACCCAGACAGCCAGCCAGCCTGCCAGGTGGCAGTTGCCTTTAAGCCACATTTAACACACTTTCCTGGTGGCCTTAATAACTAAGCAAAGCTTGCTAACTGAGCCCATCCTTGTGTCTCCATTGTAGAGGAATTTTAGAGAAGCTGATGGGGGAATTATGTGTGCGCACCCCTCTCCCCCCGCCGACATACTCAAGGCAGTTGGCTTATCTAGTCCTACCTTTCAGGGCTGAGCTGTGGGCACCATCACTGTTTGGGAGGCGAGGTTGTCTGAGTCTTCCCTACCATGTTAAATCCTGTTTAGGTTTCCTCATACCCTGTCATTAGGTAAGACCTGGCTTTGTCAGCAGCATTCTGCCTCATTTGCTTGTGTCCATGCTGGTCTCTGTTTGCACTGTGCTGCCTCCCAGAAATGTGACAAACACATTGACCTTCTAAGACAGCTGAGCACAAGGCGTGTCTTCTTTGACTGCACCCCTGGCCAGAGTCACTTGTGGTCCCCTCTGGTTTCGTGCCACAAAGTGCTGAATTTGTCACCTGCTTGTCTGTCTCCTACTCTGGGTTGCATAAACCATCAGGTGCAAGGTTTGTGTCTCAGTTGTCTTTATATCCCCAGAGCCGTCAGCAGGGCCAAGTAATGCGGCTGTGGATGTGGAGTGAATGTTTGGCGACTGACCACCAGTGGTCCCTCAGCTAGCTAGCAGCTGGCACTGGAGCACAAGTCTTTACTGCCTGTGACATATTGCACTAGGCAGATGATTATTGAAAGGAATATGCTTTGATGGACAGGCTTTGAGGCCACGCTGGGGACTTCCTGCCCAATCTGCGTATCTGGTTTCCCTCATGGTGACACCATTTGATGATTTCTGGGTGTCCTTTGGAGAGTATGTGAGGTTTTTTCTGACTGTTTTCTGCTTAGAGGGAACTATGTTTCATCTCTACCTGTTCCTATTAGGAAAGTAAATATCCCTGCTCTGTAAAATAAGGCGTAATATGAATTCAGTTTTATGAGCTTGAAGGAGGCATGGAGACTGAGTTGTAAACTGGGCTTCTCCGGGTAGAAGCGAGGACGTGGTGTTCTCCCCTCCGAAAACGCTTCTCGCCTAACGATGACCCCGTGGGGTGTGTCTGGCCCGGGCTCTTCGGCCACCTGGCCGTGTTGGGGCAGGGGCCTCACAAGCAAAGGTGACAGGACCTCTCCCGAGTGTGGCCAGACCCGACGCCGGTGGTAAGGAGGACACCCCCTTGACCTCTCCCAGCCGTGCCTGCCCCCCCACCCCAGGGGCTGCAGTTATCAACGTTCCCAGTGGATAAAGGAGCCACAGGTCCCCACGGACCCGTGGCTGCTGTGGAGCCAGCCCTGACCGCAGCTATGGCTGTTCAGGCCCCGTGAGGACACTGCTGAGACATGAGCAAAGTTGCCCGTAAACCAATGATTCCACTTTGCAGCTCACTGATGCTACTCTCATCTCCATTTCTTCTGTTTTCCACTCACGATTGTGAATCCATGGAGAATCCCAGCATCGGCTGCCTTGTCGTGCATCCAGGGCAGACACTGTCGTGGGGAGCGAGGTCTCCAACATGGTGTGTCCCAGGCTGTGGCCAGGGCATTGGAACCAAGTCCCTGATCCGTGTAGCCTGGCCGAGCTGCTTGTTGGCTCCTCTCCATGACTGGCGCCAAATCCTCCGTGTTACTCAAAGGAGAGGGGAAGGAAAAAGGTGATGGATGTGATGTCTGGATGGAGCTAACGTGTGCGACAGAAGGAAGGGCCATGGGTCAGCCTTCAGACACCCTCAGGCACACATATTTAGGTACAAGACGTGTCTGCCATTGCAAACCTACCTAGACCACAGAGCGGATTCTCGATTTCGTCGGCAGGTTGGCACTAAAAGTAAACACACGGTGACCGTCAGCCTCTTCCTGTTCTATAACCAACTTTAGTTTTTAAGCAGCAGAGCATTCAGACATCTGATTTGCATCCCCTTCTGCGGTGGCGGTGTTGTGATTTAAAACCCTGCCGCCGGAGCCATGTGGGTCGCCGTGTCAGGGAGCACAGGGCTGGCCGAGACACTGTGAGTTACAGCGGCTGGTGCCCTGTCACAGTTAACTATGAGGGACCAGTGATAAATCCGCTTTCCAGGAGTTCTGGGGACGGTAGAGAAGAGGGCTGGTTTCTCACATCTGAGGTCCTTCTAAATCATCAGGTTGACATTTTATTTAGAGAGCGTGCAGGGCCCGCTTTGTATGTGGGATCTGCATGCCTCCCGTTTTTTATTTTTGCATTCTGAGAGCAACTTTTCACGGAGCGCGCCTCCCCCTGCGGCTGGCGCTGCGGCTTTCACCGCGGGACTGTGTGACCTGGCCCCGTGGCCGAATGTGTGCGCCTGCCTGCGGCAGTCACGGCTCCGCCAGGCCTGCATGGCTTTCACGGCTCTCCTGAGACCTGCTTTCAATGGCAGTGCTGTTGGCTGGAACGCTCAGCTGGCTAGCCAGTCTGAGTCCTCTGTGCCTCAGTTTCCTCACCTGTAAAAGGGAGGCAACAGTTCTCTTCCTAGTTGCCCAGAGGGGTGACTATAGACGTCCAGGGAGAACACTGAAATCTGCAAAGTCCTGGGAGAATGTCAGTTGCTGGGGAGAACTGGACCCTCTGCCAGAACAGAAGGCCTGGAGTCCGTGGGCACTGATTCACCTCTTCCTTCAAATCACTTTCTTAAAGCAATACCATCTGTGTGTGTGTCAGTATCAGTCTCCTAAAGCAATGTCATAAATGCATGTGTGCGTACACACAGACTGATAGATATTTTTCCTGCTTTGAAGAGAATCTCCAGCTGAGATTTGAAATCTACTCAAATTGTCTTTCACATATTTGCCTCTGTGTCTAGCATTGGGGAGAGATGAATCAGATAAAATATTATTATTTCAGGCTTGTCTGCCCCTTATGACACTTTGCTTTTGATGTTTAGCCAAGAAGCACCACTTGCTCAGACATAACTCAGCGATTATAGACTGTTCAGTCCCTTTCTATTTCTGCTCCCGCATCTGAGCCTGCCTTCCTTATAGGGGATGTGAAAAACGGGACTGCTGGGGCCTCTGAGGATCTGACGACAACCCTTAAATACCCCTAGGCATCCCTAAATTGAATGTCTAAAATAAACACTATTTTTCAAAAATGTACCTAATGAGTATATATTAAAGTTATAAAAACAAAATAACAATGTCATGAATAAAACTTTTTTTTAACTCTCATGATACACTTAGAGTTATAATGTTATTTATAATGTTCTTATCACTGCAGTGACTTCGGGAATTTCTTTCTAAAGTCCGGGTTTCAGTAAATGCGTCATAAATTCTAACTGTAATTTCCTACCGCGTCGTGTTCTCGCTAATGTTGACATTAAACATAATGGATGGAAAGTCTTCCTAAGACTCCAGCAGCACTGAGAACCTGGTTTCTGCTGCTTTGGGCTGAATCATTAGCAGCTTTGAATCGGGTCCTGCCAAGTTGTGGGCTGACTCAGGATGATAAATATCTGTGAGGGACTCAAAATCCTCGGGGCGATGCCTGTGGAGCTTGGAAGTCATGGAGTGGCGTGCCGGGTGTATGTGTGCAGCACGTAAACAGGGAGGCAGCTATTGAAATGTTCAGGTGAAAAATATCCTCCTTAAACTCGTGAGGACCTCACATGTAAAGCAGGTATTTCAGTGTGACCCTGTTTTAAATGCCTGTAGGGATTGGAGGTCATTAACAGGGGGAGCTCTGAGGTTCTTGATGTTTTTTTTGTTGATGACTGTATAAATCACTCCCCTATTTAAGTATCAGACTAATGGATGATGTCGTTAACATGCTTATCTTGAAAAAACATAATTTTCTAAAATTTTCACCTCCTCTCCTAAGTAGTAATTTAGATCAAAATCTGGTTAGTTCATAGTAAAACATGAGGAAAAGCAAACTAAATAAGTTTAAAATAGAGAAAGATGTTACATGAGTACAGATCAGTCTCTGCAGTTATTCTCTGAAATTCAGTGTTTTCAGGATGGACATCCAAGAGACGAGTAGACAAGCACAATACAGAACACAGTTAGACCTGTAGTGTGTTTTCCTACATGCTGGATTGCTTCCAAGACCATCCATTCAGAATATAACTTCCAGACTCTTATCCCATAAGGAAAATGTGCCTATATATAAAATTTTTCCAAATTATGGAACCAGTACATGTTCATTGGAAACTACTGAAAAGTATAAGGGAGAAAGTTAAATTAATCCTCAACGTTAACACCTAGAGATAAACCAAACTATATATATATATAGTTTTGAACATTCCTTTTCATTTCACATAATATAGTTAATGTCCAGATTAATATTTTTTTGAAATGTGCTTATTGGTGATGTAAATATTTTACTACAGGGATATGCCATGACTTACGTTGACTAACTTACATGACTAAATACACAGATAAATTCTGAGATTGGTGGCCTTGTGTAGAACATTTAGGCCCATTTCTATTCCCTTAGGCTTGGTTCTTAGGAGTAGATTTACTGGATCAAAGATTATTAATGATATTAAGAAATATACACATTGCTAAAATACTTTCTAGAAGGGTTGCTTCGATTTAAGCAAAAACATTGACACTTTCACCAACATTGTTAAACTGTTTCCAATATGGTTATTATATGATCTAATCAGCCAGACCTTCCAGGACAGGGAAGGGACACCCACGGAGCCCTGATCCAAGCTTGGTCTGATGCTATCATCACACCAACCCCCTGCCTTCCCATTTCACAGATGAGGCAACATGCTCAAAGAGGGTGAGTGGTTTCTGAAGGTCACACAGCCAGAAAGTGAGGGAACTGCTGCTTGGTTATTCAGGTTCAGGCTGTCTGGTCCCAAAGTTCGTTTTCTGCCTACACTTCCAAGGTTCCCTCCCCTGTGTAATATTTACAGTCACATTGACTTTTCTAAACAAAACACGCAAGACTCTTAGAGAACACCTGGAGCTTTAGTGGGCACTCGATACACATATTTGAGACGTTCAGGTATACACAGAGTCAGCAGTCAGAGTCAGCCCGCAGCGCAGGCCCGTTTCCTGCCTCCAGGCGGAGAGGCCTCTCCGGCTGCATGAGGTAAGCGGCCACCACATCGCTGACGCTGTCTGAGCGTGCGCCTGTGTTCATTAAACTCCCAGGTAAGGCACCTTTGTGCAAAGGTGGACATTTTTTTTCCAATTCCACATAATCGTGCAAAAATCTCTCAAGAGCACAAGCAGAGCTTTGAAAACATCAAAGATAAATCACAAAGATATTAACGCAAGGAGAGATTTCTTTTGAGTTTATACGTCCAGGTCTTCATGCCACTTCTACCGAATTCCAAGGGCCCTCTTGGAATCGTTGAGGCAAAAAGCAACTTGTAGTGGTCGCTGGTTTCTGTTGCAGGTGTGTGAGTACCCCGACGGCACCAAGTCTTTGAAGCTGGGAGACTTTGGGCTGGCCACCGTGGTGGAAGGCCCCTTGTACACGGTCTGCGGCACACCAACTTACGTGGCCCCAGAAATCATTGCCGAAACCGGGTAAGGCTCCTGTGGTTCGGGTTGGTGCTTTATCTTTGGAGGGGAAAGGTATATTTTCCTCCCAGTGTATTCATTTGACTCTGGGGAAGGTGGGGAGAAGGGGAAACTATCGATCTGGACCATAACTTTGATCCCAGAAACTTGACTTTGTCTTTCTATGTTTAAGAGTCCTGGGCCTGGACTTCTGTCCCAGGGCTAGTCTTGGGAACATGGCAGTAGTTCCCCAGATTGTAATCAGGACTGGGAGAAAAGCAGATGCCTTTATCCAAAGGGCAGTTAATTTGTTTACATGAAGTGAACAGTTTGGTGCTGAAGACTCCCCCACACCTTTTTTTTTTTTTTTTTTTTAATCTCACAAAGGCAAGTAGTCCAGTAATGTGGAGGGTTCTGGTGGTTGGTAACATGCTTATCTCCCCCTTCCCCCCATGTTTCCCAGCTATGGCTTGAAGGTGGACATCTGGGCAGCCGGCGTGATCACGTACATACTCCTCTGTGGATTCCCGCCCTTCCGAAGGTCAGTGGCCCTTTGTGGGACAGTATTTGTATTGTAAGCTCTCTTCCTTTGATTAGGAAGCAGACGGTTTACTTCTGGCAGTCAAGACCAGAAAGTGGGTGATAAAAATGTCAGTTAAGAATTATATAGACATGGCTTTTACTTTTTATCTAATGTACAGCCTATAAATGTATATTCATGGACCACACTTTTTCTAATTTCAAAAAATTTATTGATTTTAGAGGAAGGGAGAGAGAGAAAAAGAGAGGCATTGATTTGTTGTTCCACTTATTCCTGCATTCATTGGTTGATTCTTCAATGTGTCCTGACTGGGGATCAAACCTGCAACCTTGGCATACTGGGATGATGCTCGAACCAACTGAGTTACCTGGCCAGGGCCCTTGACCATTCTTCTGATGTGAGGACAAGGCCTTTGCTCTGTGTAGAGTCCTCTGAGTTTCTTGTGGTCATTCTTCTGCGAAACACACTCATCGTCTTGTGTCTCCAGTTCCCATTCTCAGTTATTTTCAAGGCAAGTGAAGTTTAAAGATCTTTGTAAAGCAATCTGATCCTTCTAGGAAAACCTTTTTCAATTTTTTAATAGTTATCTCTCCTGCTTACTTTGGGAACCATTTTTTAACAACTCTCACTCTAAAGTATTCAACTTCTCATAACAGAAACAGAAAACTTTTATTTATCCATTCATATAATATTTAGTGGTGTAGAATTATAAATGCTTTCAACACAAATAGGCCTGGGAACAAACAGATCAAGTCTTTGGTGAGCATGTACCTCACCTGGCAGAGGTGGCCACATGCAGGTCAGGGTGTGTTACTGGGGGCATGGAGAACACCTGCTACTCAGCAGTTCATGGGTGTGGCATAAGCGTGGGCTTCACCCACAGCACCGTTTCCACCTCATGCTTTGGAGCAAATGAACGACTTTGAAGCAGAAGTTCATCTAGGGATACACGTTTGATTCTCTTCTGAGTGTTCTTGAGCTCTCTTTTCATTTTAATCTTTTTTGTTCACTTTACTACTCTTGAGTTAGCCACTGTGTATTCTAAGCGTCAGGAATCAAATGGTGAATCAACATATTCTTTGGGGTCACGTTTTTTATGGTGTAGTGTTTTGTCAGTAAGCAAAAAAACAGGTTTATTTTACCACCTCCCAACGTCTTATAATGAAAAGTTTCAAACATTCAGAAAAGTGGAAAGTTTTATCTTTTTGAAATGATCTACGTTCAGTTGACTTGAATGTTTTTAGCGACACTGCTGTTATCATAGGAGTGACACAGAGAGGCCAGTCTCTCCCTCTGAGAGTCTGTGGTGGAAGGACATACATTGCAAGAATACAGATCAAGAAAAATAACTAGAGCCTGAGGGCATGTTCGCCTGAGGGCATGTTCACTTGAGGGCTGGGAATCACCAGCATCTAATGGAAGATAGAGCAAGTGGGCGGACCCCCGACCTACTGGCATGGGTTGGGTTTCTGTACGTGGAAAGCTTTCTACCTGGCCATCGACATCGTGGTCTTCCATCAAGGTCATTGCCTAGGTGGATTGCACAGCCTGTAGGATTATTGCACATGCCAGGTAACATGTCCTGACTAATAACGACCCCGAGGGTTAGGGCTGTCAGGTCTATGATCTGGGCCAGCTCAGTAGGGGTTTGATGGTCTGGTGTGGCCTCGCTCACATGCCTTGTGGCTGACTGAGTGTCCGCTGGGACAACAGATACCACTGGGCCATGGGCCTCTCAGCCTTCGGTGGTCTAGCTGGGGTTTCACTTGACAGTGGATCCAGGAATCCCAAAAGCAGCGAGAGAGAGGGCAAGTTCTTCTCTCTGAGCACTTTTCAAGTCTCTGCTTGCTTCACGTTTGTTGATGGATATCCCATGGACCACATGAGGTCAAATAGCTATGCCTGCGGTAAGTGTGGGAGAAGATTAAGAACGCGTACTTACGGGGAACGGAATAATTTGGGGCCATTTTTTCTATCATGCTGTGCTGGGGCTGGTTTCAGTGATGGCCAGTTTTGGGAACTAATCAAGCATAGAGGTTAGTGTGTTTGCTAGCTGGTGACCTAGGGGCTGGTCACCGCATCATTCCTCTCAATGTTGGTTGACCCAAGTTGAGACCAGTTGGGACAGGGGTTTGGGGATCAGTTTTAGAGGCCTGTGTGCTCACAACTCCCTCTAGTGTTTCCACTTGCCAGTGCAGCCTGGGAGTTTTTCCTTGGACTTTGCTTTTTACTTTTTAACAAAAGTGAGGCTCAGATTAAACAAGTATGTGTATGTATTGTGACTTGATGCCCCGTGGACAGCAACTTCTCTGTGGGATCTGGAGATACATCTGGCTGTAAAAGCTGTAAAGCTCCATTCTGAAATCCGCTGCCATTATACGTTATAGTCAGGGACTGGCTTTACAGCCTCTGAAATGTACAGAAATGCTTTCTCTTTTTCCTAGGTTGTGATGAAAGGGAGTCTGTAACGTTACATGCTAGTTACAGAAGCGCCTTCACAGCACAGGGACATTTGGGAGAGATCCCCGAACCTGCTATAACATAAACTGCATATAGAGCAAATTAGGACATGGTGCTTTAAATAATGAGAGAAGACCATGGTACAGAATAAATTATCTACACAAATTTGTCCCTAAAATGAAAGTCCTTCCAACAGATATTTTAAAACATTTTCTTTGTTTTATCAAAGATCACTTTAACCCACAGCTGCTTAGTTGAAATTTGTTACTTGGGACTTAAAGCTTCAGCTTCTGTAACTATAGTGGCTCTCACTTTTCTTTTCTCAGGCTTTAGTCTTAGCTTGACATGTATCCTTCCTGCAGTTTTTCAACCCCAGACTCATTGTTCCTAAGAAGGATATTGGTTTTCTAAAGGGAACGGAAATTTTAGTTACTGCCTAAGCAAGTCTGTTTTAGGACCGCTGGCAAAAGATACTACTTACAATGATCAGAGGCGTGCCTATATTCTTTTCAATTAACGTTTTGGGTTATTTTGGATCTATTCTCCGAAGTGGGATAATGGGGTCTTAAAGGCAGTTCCATTTTTAGTTTTTGAGGTATCTCCATACCGCTTTCCACAGTGGCTGCCCCGGTCTGCACCCCCCCGAGTGCCCAGCGGTAGATGAGTGGCTAGAAAAGCTGTGGGACATTTATGCAATAGATACTGCTTGGCCATAAAACGAAATCTTGCTCTTTGCGGCAGCATGGATGAACCTGGAGAGCATTATGCTACGTGGAATAAGCCAGTCAGAGAAAGACAGGTACCAAGTGATGTCACTTACATGTGGAATCTAATGAACAAAATTAACTAGCAAACAAAATAGAAACAGACTCAGAGAGAGAACAGACTGACGGCTGTGAGAGGGGAGGGGGGTTGGGGGGCTGGGCGAGAAAGGTGAAGGGGTTAAGCAAAAACAAAAACAAAAACAAAAACAAAATAAGCCTCAGACACAGATGACAGCATGGTGACCGCCAGAGGGAAAGGAGGCCGGGGGAGGTGGGGGAGAGCAGAGGGGCGTAAGTGGTGACGGAAGGAGACGCCTTGGGCCGGTGAACACACAATGCACTATACAGATGATGTATTGTAAATGGAACAGTACACCTGAAACCTATATAATTTTATTAACCAATGTTACCCCAACAGAGTCAATAAATTTTTTTAAAAAAGTAATATTTGTATGACTATACTGAGATTTTACTTAAACACAGGCACACCCCATACATGAAATGTATGGACATCATTTATGAAATAACATTTTCAGGTTACCTTGCAGGACCTTTACCTTCCTGACTCACCGTTGAAAAGAGGATGGACCCAAACTTTTTTTGTTTTGTTTTTGAGGTTTTTCTTAATGGAAATTTTTAGACTTAACAGCACCTTGATCCAGGGGCTATATTGTTTTAGTATAAAGAAGTGCCCTGAAGCATCTCAGCCAGACTACAGAGTATAAATGTGTTAATAAATCCAGCACAGATCCAATCAGAGAGGATTTTTTTTTACGTGACCACTAAGAAGCATAAGTTACTGTTGGGCTTTCAGTTCTCTTAGTGAGGGAAGCCTGAGGCCCTTGCAGCACACAGCGTGGGTTCTTCGGGGTGAATTCTAAGTGCCAGGACATTCCAGGTTTTGTTTGTTGATTCGGGCTGTGTTGCCAAGACCCAAAATGAATGCTGCATACTCACTTCCAACTTTTCAGCTGTTTATCAACAAAATAAAAGCCATATGTGTTAACAAAATATAAGTCATTTGAGATTTCAGGGCGGGGGGGGAATGGGAGATGAGTGGAATAATAGCGATGGCTAAAAGAAGTGATTCTAGAAATAGGTGATATATTTTATATCTTCTACTATTAGTTTCCTGGGGTCCCCTGGCTTTCTAAAAGTTTTTGTAAAATCTCATTGTGTTTTAGGTGTGTCCTTTACTCATTTTGAAGGACATTGGGCTGCGTGTAGTCAATAGGGAAGTAAGTAAAAAAGGAGAGAGAAGGTGCAGATGTCTAAAACAAAATGTGTGTACACTCTCAAAGGAAACCACTTTTCAGGAGCATGGAGATCGGGGGGACCTCTTGATTGCCTGGTTTCCTAGTCCAACTTCTGCCTCTCACGTGCCTGTGGCCCTAGACTCCATGGACCAGTGGCTGGGATTCAGCTGGGCTTGGGGTGTGTCACAGACATGTGCAAATCTCACCAACTCTCCTCTTTCATAGAACAAGAACAAAGCAGCCATGTCATCACATGGCTCCAGAATTTGTCTCTAGGCACTGTCCTAAATGACCCATTTTTAAGGACACCACATTTGTCCTTGCCCACTCTGAGAGGGCTGGTAGCATGATCAGGCTCCTACTCAGAAGGCCGGGTGCCCTGTGAGCTCCCTGAGCCATAATAGGCCGCGGGCCACGTTGGGAACTCCAAGGGAAATGTTGTGCCAGATGAGCCTGGACTTCCACTTCTGGACTATGATCTTGACTCCGTCAGTCCATCTGAGTTTTCTACTAAGGCTTTGTAATGACCTCAAAAGATAATGACTTTGTTCTCACTCTGGCCACCGGCGAGCCATCAGGCAATGACGGGGGCTCTGTGGCCATGCAGACGCAGGCGTCCAGGAGGCAGGGGATGTCCAGCGTGCTGAATTTTCCCCGGCAGTGTGTTCACATTTCCATGGCATGTCCCATTGCAAGTCGAGTCGTCCTGTATTCATTATGCAGCAGCCGTGCGCGAGCGCCCCTTTGAGTGTGGGACAGGTAGGCACAGGCTGAGGAAGGATGCCCACCCAGGGGCTGCGAGGAGCACTTGTCTCAACCAGTGTAATTCTCGTTGATGTCCTTGGTCGGGCTCTTTCTCTCAGGCTGAGCTTAACTGAAAGTCAAGTTCCAGTGAGGAGCTCATCACGTCAGGACTGTTTTATCCAGATTCTGAGCTCCATATGGCTTTTTCCTGTGTTGGCTGCTTCACTGATCCTTGGCTGTTCGATTGGAAAACTGGAAAGAGGAAGGGCAAAGAGCCCTGACTCAGATGAGCTACTTTTCCACTCTGTTCCCGTGAGAGATTAACTGAGGGCAGATGCTGAGATTCTTTTCTGAAATGAGGATTTGTATGATTTGTGGACCTCTTGTTTTCTTGTCTTCTTTACTGAGGCAAAATAGACATAATGCACAATGTATTGCTTTACCCATTGCCAGTGCACAGGGCATGGCACTGAGCACATCCAGAGCCATTGCGCAGCCATCGCCAGCCCTCCCTCACCCCAGCTGGGGCTCTGAGCCCACCCCGCAGGCTTCTCCGGTCTCCCTGTGTCTCCCTTCTCTCTCTCCCTCTCTGATTCCCAGACCCGTGGAAATGTTCTTGAGTTCATGTCTAAAAGGAAAAATGTGTCACCGCAAGTGCAGTGGGGCGAGGAAATGCCTCAGCCAGAGACTGGACTCCTTTCCCCCCTCTTCCCGTGAACATTTTGTTGAAAAACTCTCTGGTGACTTTGGCTCTTCTTCCTTTCTTCGTCACTCACAGTGAGAACAATCTTCAGGAAGATCTATTCGACCAGATCTTGGCTGGGAAGCTCGAGTTTCCAGCCCCCTACTGGGATAACATCACAGACGCGGCAAAGGTACCATCCAGGCTGTTTCTGTGGGTGTGTTGCGGCCAGGGGTCCTCGCTTCACATGGGACTCTTGGTCTGGAGCTCCAGGTCTGCCTTGACTTTGCACAGTGGTCCGTCTTTACGTTCATTCCCAAGTACAGTCTCTGAACCTCTTCACCAAATCCTGAAAGCTGGCCTGGCTGCCTTCCCAGCTCACCCTGAGACCCCGCTTTAAACCCTAAACATTTGTGTTTTCACTTATTCAAGCAATACGTGCCATACGTTGCCGTGTATAACGTGCTCCTGTGTGTAGTGGGCACCCACATTTTTGGCCCAAACTTTCAGGGAAAAAAAAAATCATCCTTTTTAATTTTTTAATTCAGTTTTTATTTATGCATATTAGGACACAAAACTGGTTATTGCATTCCAGGGTATTATTTTGCATATGGGTATCATTATTGCTTTCTAGAGTTATACTTTTAATACACAAGCATAAATAAAAGAATTAAAAACATTTATATAGATACAGAGTTGGTTCTATCCATGTATAATGCACACCCTTATTTGTCCCTCAGAAATTTGGGCAAGAATGCACATTATACACAGCAGAATACGGTATCAGACGCCCATCAGAATATATGAATGGATTCGTGAGACGTACTGAATTGCCCAAAGGGGTAACACTGCAGTGTTTCCTTCTGGAATGATGATCGTGAGCAGAGCTCTTAGGGGAGGACACCTTGGTTTAACACAGACTGAGGAGAGCCCTCTCTTCCCTGCGTGCTGTGCACCCAGTGAGGCTACTGCGTCGCAGAATTGCCTTGTCGGCACTGGGAGTGTAGGTGACAATGGCTTTGCAGTTCAAACGGCTGAGCAGCTGTGTTGGCTGTTCTGTGAAGCACTGGTGTAGACTCAGATTCCTGTACTTATGCTGGAATTACCCCCTTTTGTCTCCTCTCTGGTCGTCTGTTTTTCCTTGCAGGAGTTAATCAGCCAGATGCTCCAGGTCAACGTTGAGGCTCGGTGTACCGCAGGAGAGATCCTGAGCCACCCCTGGGTGTCAGTAAGTACCCACATGCCCGGGAAACAGCGCCTGTCCATTCTGGGGCCACGAGTGTGGCGCAGCCAGGAGCTCTGTGTCTCCAATGAGCGAGGAGCACGGTGCTCTCGCGAGGGAGCAGGTGGCACCAGGATCCTGGAGCGTTCGGACCTGGGCAAGGCACTGACCCTTTCTGGGCCTCAGTTTCCCCCACAGCAAAGTGAAGGGGCGGCAGGAATGCTATCTACGGTGGCGTTCAGCTTTTGCCTTCTGTAGTTCTGGGGACCGGGGGCTTTCAGGATCTTCCCAGAGATGAACTTTTTTCAGACCCCGATCCCTCCAACTTCATGGCGCATGATCACAGGAGACCTTCTGGTGTGGGTAGGGAGGTGAGGCACAGGCCCTTCCAGGGCCAGGCAGAGAGGTGTCCTGCCAGCTAGGGTTCCTCTGGGCTTGGGGGGCACCCCGGGTTTAGGGCAGAGACGGCCCTGGGACAGAGACCTTGGAGGGTCGGCACTGCCCTCGCTCCTGGAGGCTCCAGCAGAGGGAGGCTCACCTACCAAGGGCTCATGGTGCCCCGTGCTCCTCTGCCACCTCCACTGTCCCCCAGGCCCTGACATCTGGGTCTAGCCTCTCTGGCTCCCGCTGAGAGACAGGGCTCTTGGGCCAAGTAGCTGAGATGCCATGTTATTTTATGAACAACAGAGACTAACAACAAACTGAAATCTTGATTAAAATAAAAACTTCATTAATTTTGGTGTGCTAAATTATATGGCATTCGTGCTGTGGGGACGGTCTCAGAGCCCCGGAGAATGTCCCCCTTGTGCCACCGGAGACCTGCGCTCTGGACCTGAGGAGCGGGACGAACTGAGTCGGGTCTTTCTGGGGGCCCGGGACTGCTGAGTAACAGGGATTGTTTGTAATGGGTTGTCGTTCCCCCAGCCTCTTGGGTCAGGTGGGCCCGTGAGGAAGAGTTGGTGGTGATGGGGAAGAGACAAGTTTTAGCCGTGAAAATCAAACCACTGTATTTGCTTCTTCGCTGTAGGACGATGCCTCCCAGGAGAATAATATGCAGGCCGAAGTAACAGGTAAACTAAAACAGCACTTTAATAACGCGCTCCCCAAACACAACAGCACCACGACTGGGGTCTCCGTTATCGTGGTAAGTGGACTTCACGCCCTGCCTTTGGAGAGCGGCTGTGTCTGGCCTGGCTGCTCAGCCAACACTGAGGCTTTTCGAGTAAAGAGCCAAGAGCTTCCCCCTCACGGAAGCTGGCGCCTTCCCTGTTCCCCTTTTCACTTCAGGATTGGCTTGGCATGGGACGGGCCCCCATCTGGCTGACGCCCAGGCCTCGGCCCCGGGTGGGGAATTGTGCAGGTACCGTGAGGCCAGACGCCGCCCGGCGCCGAGGAGCCCCGGCACCCCCAGGCAGGGCGCCCTCCTGGGCAGCCGCTCCTGCCCCGCCTGCCCTCTCCTGCAGGGGCTCCCACGGCCGGCTGGGGTGCCCAGCGGAAGGCGGCACCTCCCTGCCTGCTCAGGGCTTCCAAAGCAGGCTATTTGAGGTGTGAATTATTCTTTGGAACTTGGGATAAGAAACGGCCCAAGTTTAAACAAATGCCATCTTAAAAATCAGTGTTTTGGAGCTTTTTAAAAGTACAGAACAATGTAAAAAAAATAATTAGGTTTCTCAAGGTGGTTAGAATGGTATGAGAAGGCAGTGACAGTGATTGCCATCTTTTTTCAGACCTTCCTTCTTCCAAAATGTTTTCAAGGTCGCTTATCTAAATCCATGTACACAACAGATGAGAGTAAGTGAAGTAACATTAAAGTAAGTGCAGCGAAAGGAAAATAAGGGCTGCAAAAAATATTGAGTCAGAATTGTGGTCGGCACCCCTGACGAAGCTGTCGGACCGGAGCCCTTGCCGAACTGAGGCCAGAAAGCGCCCTGAGCGCCCCGAGCGCCCCGCACCTGCTACCGAGCCCGGCGCTGCTGTGGCCACGCCCCCACAGGCCCGGGAGCAGGCCGGCTGGTCTTCGGGGGCCTGTCTTCCAGATCGGGTTTTCTAGAAAATGGCTGCCTGAATGTTGGCATCTCGGCCACACCTGGCAACATTGGGTCTCAGCAGCACCTAAGGCCACCTGGTGGCCTGACGGCTGCTGATGGGCTGTCTCCACAGCCCCATCATCCTTACCTCTGGCCTCTCACCTTCTGGAAAGGTTCGATTGCTTCCTAACCAAGTAGAAGGGAAGCAGTTGCTTGTGCTCATGCTCCGTTGTAGTCTAGGAACCTCAGAATAGCCAGAGAGAAGTTGGAGGAAGCCCCTCCCCCCCACCACCCCCACCCCTGTGCCTGTAAAGTACATCTGTTGAGTATCCGCCACCTCCTTAGCCTCGCAGGCCTGCCCTGCCCTGCCCCTCTGCCCCGGGGTTGCGGGTATCTGGGAGCCCCCCCCGCCCCTCCCCCGTTTGTCCCTGTGCCTCCCTGACTCCTCCCTGACTCCTCCCCTCCCCCCACCCCAGGCAGCGCCTGCAAAACAGGATCTTTTGACATGTTTCAGTACTTGGGGGGTGGGGTGCCAAAATATGGGAAGGCCTCTTCAGTTGTGGTTTTCCTGGCTTTTTAGCAGCGTTCTGCTGAAAGCCTGAGTGAGCCCAGCTTTCTCAGGAGCACAGCTCCGTTAGACGGAAAGAACCGTCCTGACTGAGTCCGTTTTCTGGGGAGTCACCCGCCACGGCCGGGATAGGGGGTGGACAGTCTTGCCACCTGCACCACTGTTAGGCAGCTTCTGGGAACATTGAGGAAAACATTATCAATTGGCTCACTTGACCTGTAATGAAAAGCCTGAGGAACAGTGATTTGTTAGAATCAAAACTGAATATTGTATATTAAGTTTCATAGTCTCCCAGAGCTGTGCCCAGGGCTGATGAGAGAGCTTCGCCCTCCTTGTGTGGGACGCCTGTTGACTCAGGGCCCAGTCAGGCGTCGCTGGCCTGTAGCCTGCAGCGGCCCTGGGCTGACCCAGCCCTTCCGCCTCATGGTCCGGTACAGGCTCTGCTCTGCATAGTGACGTCCAGACCCCCTTGGACGGAATCTACCTCTTGTGGTTGACAAATGGCCTTTCCCCATTTTGTTGACGGAGGTCCACAGTCAAGTGTCAAACTCCAGAGTATAACTGGATGTTTCCGTGAATGAACAGCCTGTTGTTTGTAACCCCCACGGTGATGGTAAATATTGCATGTTCCCACGGGTGTTCAGCTGTCATTCAGAGTGTGTTGGCAGGGCTCCGCCTAGCCTGTTCCCCACACTGCTCTACAGGCGAGTAACTCCGAGGAACCGCCGAGTCACACGCCACCCCCAGTACCTGCAGGCGGGGTCAGGAACGCTTGTTGCTAGAGACACCGATTCTCCACGGCCAAAGAGCCAGCTGTGAATTTTGGCTTGTGCCCAAAAGCAGGGGCGAGGAGGCCCCTGCAGGGACATCATGCTAATCCTCCCCCACCCGAGGACCTGGCCCAGGGCACGGTTGCGTGGGGGCAGCTTGCAATGCTTCGGTGTTGTCACCCTTGTCCTTTTCCCCATGACTGTGTGTCTGTGTGTCCTGCCCTTGGGAGCAGTTTTAAATGTTTTTGTATAAACAATAAGCACAAATGACTCTCCCTGGGATATACAGGGTCTGGCAGAAGTAAGACCTGCTTGAGCGTGGTTGGTAGGGTAATAGTAGGGGTATAACAATTGATAGTTTTAACTCAAACATTTCACCTAAAATGTTATATGGTATGTGTGAGTGTGATCTTCTTATGTTACAGAATTACATGCTTAAGATTTTGTAGTAGAAGATTGTGTAATTAAAAAGTGGGCGTTATTTGTTCTCATAACTGGAGTATGTGAGGTTAATATGGTTCCCTGCAGATGCAACTAGTAGTGGAAATACTGCATAAGAGTTTGAGGTGGAATCCTCAGATAACTGTTGTATGACCTACAGACAGAACCTTACTGTCCACTGTCACCTCTTGGCCTTAGCCCCCCAGCGTTGGTGCCTGAGGCTCCAGGGAGGAAAATGAGAGGACAGGAATGGTACCTAACAGTGAAAGAAAGCAAAGTTGATGCTGTTGTCTGCGTTTCATTTGACAGTTTGATTTGACAGTTTGAGAAACACTTCTGAGTTTCACTCTTTACCCAGCTGAGACTCTGGGGACTCCTGGAGCAGAATTCGGGTATTCAACACGCGGTGCTTTGTCAGAGCAACTGCTAATTCTCAGCCCCCCCTTACATCTGCATGCATGCCTCAGACTTCTGACACCAGCGTCCAGCTCTCAGCTTCCTGTCAGTGCCGGTCTCCTGTGCCTACTGACGCCCTTTCCAGCCAGCCAAGCACGCTCGTGGAGAACTTTCCCAGCTTGCTACACTGCCTCCCTTCACAGATTAAACGCTGGCGAGTGCTCAGAGAAGAGGGCTCCAGTAGATCTTGATAGCTGCTATTTCTTACATAGGTGAAAAGGCATCTTTTTGTGAGTGACAGCATAAGACGGGTACCTTTGTGAAGGCTTTTGTTCTCTTTCTCCAAGTACATTTCCAAGGATGTGTTTTTATTAGTAAGATGGGGTAGAGTCAGCTAGCCTTCGGGATAAGAGAAGAGAATTATATTGGATAAGATTTCAGCTTAAGACAGGCCGACAGTGGTTTTGGATTGCACTTGCATTTCTCGGACTTGCCCTTAACATGCAGAGGAAAAGGCAGGGCGTGTGCAGAGCAGGCAGATTGTCTGTCCCCAAAGGCTCCTCCCAGCCTCGGGGACTAGAGGGCGCCATCTTGTGGCACAATAGGGAACGGTAAGAAACCTGGTTCACCTTGAATCTTGACAGGAGAAAACCGTAAATGCAAAAGGTGTGCTTTCCTGCTCCAGGGGAATGATGCTTCTTTCAGGGGGAAATCTGGGCATGATTCGGGCTTAATTTAAGCTAGATGAAACTGTTTCAATCGTGTTGCTTCTGTTTAAAGTAAGTCTAGTTTCTGTCCCTGCTTCTCTCCCCCTTCTCCTGCCTCTCCCGCCTCTCCTGCCTCTCCCGCCGCCTGCATTTGCTCCCCTCTGACTAGGTCCAAGGCAATGGTATGTACTAACTGCACTGCGATGCTTTGTTCTGCTGCACACACGTTCTCCCGACAGGAAGAGAAAAGGAGAAATAACTGGAGGTTTCTTCTACCCAGGAGAAGTGTGTGGTAGAAAAAAACAAGGCGGCTGCCTCTCTGCATGTTCAGGGTCCCCGTGGAAGGGTGGCTGGGCTCCTCTCTCACTCGGGGCATGGAGGCTTCCACAGTTCCCTCCGCCCCTGCCCACTGCCAGTGTCCTTGGAAAGTACCACGTGCTCACCTGGAACTTGGAAAGGCCGGCAGAGAGCACCTGTTTGACAGTTGGCACCAAGTCCCTGAAGGCAGCCACACACACATCTATCTTAGAGGGCCCTGCGGTTTATTCCCACTTTCTCCAGACTTCTCCATGTGTTCAGTCAGGGTGCTGAAAGGATCGGGGGTGCGCCCCCCGCCGCCCAGGGAGTTCTGTGGCCGAATGCCTCCTGACGGGCTGTGCCTTTTAGCTACCGGTGCCTGAGAGCTGGCGGGTTTCACTGGACAAACAGGAAATACTCAAAATGAGGCAGAGGAGAACAGTCTCCCCTCTCAGTCTAGGGTCAGGAAGGAAGACAATTTCTTCACATTCCTGGCTGTTTCTGTGCTGACGAGTTGAACAGATTTAAAAATGCTGGGGGTGCGGTGAGGTCAAGAAGAGCAGGTGAGGGGATCGTGGAGGGTCTGAAATGGGTAACGTTGCACCACGCAGCCCCCAGGCCTCCGCGGATTCTGCAGCCACGGGGACTGTCAGGGGATCACTTAGCAGCACTTACCTGACACAGGAGTAGCATCCCCATCTGTCATGGAGAACTTTCTTTAGAAAAGTTCGCTGTCAAAACCCTAGCATCCTTGTAGCGTTTGCTTAGTGACCCAGGATTCTTTGGGCTTAAGGGCTGGGTCTGGCGAGAAGCACTCAGGACTCAGGTTCAACTCAGAGCTAGAAAAGTCACCTGGGGCTGCCGTCCGGGGCCGGGGACCCCGAGCTAGGAGCTGAGGTCTGGTGTGGCCTGTGCCCAGGTGGGCCCCCTCAGCCTGCTTTGCCCTGAGGCCTCCGCTAGAAGAGGGGCAAAAGGTTATTTCTCCTCTTCTGTTTCTGAGTCCCGTGCATGCTCTGTGGTGCGCTCTGTGGTGGTAGCTGTGGCCCGGGCCCCCGCCAGGCTAACCTGTCCTCTCTGTTGGTTTCTCCTCAGAACACGGCTCTAGATAAGGAGGGGCAGATCTTCTGCAGCAAATACTGTCAGGACAGTGGCCGACCCCTGATGGAGCCCGCCTCTCCGGCTCCTCCCTCCGCCGAGCAGCCCCCTGTGTCCGGGGCGGCGGCCCCGCCCCCCGCCCCTCCGGAACCTCCCACGTGCCCCTGCCCTCCCGCCGCCGCAGCCTGTGAGCGGGCAGGGACCTGGCGCCGCCACCGTGACTGACCCTGGCGCACAGGCCCGAGCCTTGACTGCCGAGCCTCAGGCCGCCGGCACAGCCCAGGCTGCCTCGGTTCGCGCTCTGGGCTCTGCCCTGCAGCTCCCGGGGGGCCACATGCAACCTCAGCTTTGGTGACAGATATTCAGAGCAGCTTGTTTTAAATTATCCTAGTTTCAGCTCAATGGACATTTTACAGCATCATCAGGAGAATGTGCAACTTTTTTCCAGCATTTAATGCATTTTTATAGAAATACTTTGGACGAGCCAAGACCTCTCCCTTACTTGAGGAAACTCCGTCTCCTTTTTTCTTACGAAGAACCTAGAGCTGCATCTGCCCCTTGGTGGGTGTCCTGTGGGAGGTGACGTGGCACCTTCCTCTGCTGATGGGGCTGGTGGACAACAGAAGAAACGAGCACCGAAGAGACAATCGGCCGTCGGACACCAACCCCGCCCGGACGTCCCCGGGGCTCTCAGGCGCCGCCCTGGACTCGGCGGGGCTCACCTCAGACGGCACCGGGTATTTATTTGTACACGGACCGCGGGGAAGGTCACTTTCTTCCCAGACAGGGTGTGTTTCTCTCAACTCTTCCCACACTTGAATTTCAAATTTTAATGAAGTCCTTTGGGCTTTTCCCTGGAAGGCCGGGCGCACGCGGCATCGGCGGCGGCGGCGGCGGGCCAGCTCCGGGGGAGCGGGGTGAACCGGGCGTCCCGCGCGGCCCGGCCGGCTTTCCTCGCCCGCTGCTCGTCGGGGCGGCAGGCGCAGCAGCCCAGGAGACGCCCAGCACAGGCAGGACTGGGCCAGGGTGCTCCGCGCGACCCCCTCTGGTGTTAACCTTCTGGAAGGCTGCTGGCAGTTTTTCCTGTTTTCCACCACTCTGCTCTTTTTAATAATTGTACATAATAGTGTATTTGTTTTACCTGCTCACCTTCTAAACTGGTGGGTCCTGTAGTTCCTTTGCATTGTTAGATTTTTGCCCCCTACGAGTGTACCCAACCTGCAATAAACTCTTCCTTACTGAGAAAAAGCAGTCGGGGTGGGCAGGGGTTTCTGTGTCGTTTTGCAAAGGACGGGTGATCAAAGGCCCGGGTTTCAGCAGGTGCCAGTGTCTGATTTGTGAAGGCTGGGGGCCGTGGGGAGAGGCGGGAACGATGCTTGGGCAGCTGTGTCTTGGTCAAAGTTCATTTGATTCCAGGCGCAGAAACTCATGCAGCAAAAGCTCAACAGGGATCGCTGACATGGGACAGGAATCTTATGGAAGCAACAGCAGGAAGGTGAGGCTATATAGAAAATGGGGAGTCAGGGTAGATGTTCCTCTGTCTGTCTGTCTGTCTCTGTCCCCCTACCCTGCGCTCTGAAATTGTGTGGTCGTCTGTCTCTGCTTTTGGTGCATTTTGGATCTTGTGTTCTGTTGCCTTGTAATAGCTGCTTGCCTATACCTCTGGTCACAGGCCCTCACCTGTCCCCCACTCCTCCAGGCTGCAAAACCCCACAGCCTGAAGCCATCTGCGTGGCTCCCGATCTCTTAATTGCTGTGCTAACGAGATGATTACACAATGATTTGTCTCTGAGCTGGTGCTGACCCTGCATCTACAGGCTGGTTGTAATACAGGTGGGCGTCCCAGTCCACAGCTGCAGCAGCTACAGCTTCCAGAGCAGGGCAGTTTCAAAAAAGGCTGTGATGGACAGCTTTAGAATATTCTGCTCATCCCTCTCCTTCCTCAGAGGCTGAAGAGCCAAACTGTCATAGCTTCCAATGGAAGTACTTTGGTTAATGGAAGCGAAGACGTGAGGTGGAGAGGGGAACAGAAAAATGAAAACAGTGCTGGAACAAGGCCTGTGGCACTGGCTGACCAGAATCTGCAACCTGACCCTGTCCCTTCAACTGTGAGGTCTAAAGACATTTGCTAAAAACTTAAGAAAATAAGTGGCCAGTCGGCGGTGACAGGATGAGAGAACACCTTTCTTCTTTCCAGCACCTGCGCCCACTCTCTGTGCCGCAGTCAGATGGCCTGGGACGGGGTGGGATGGGGGAAGGCCTAGGGAGTGGAAGTAAGTAGCACAAACCAGGTGTGGAGGGGGCCTAGCAGCGGCCGGGCAGTTCTTTCGGAATTACTTGTATCCCACAGATACCTAGAGTGGTGTGCGGTGTGAACAGAGCCGACCAAGAGGTTAACGGGATGTAGCCCAAGGCACAGAACTAGCGGGAGACCAAGCCACGGTGCTGTTTCAGGTTCCCCCCGATGTCAGAGCCTGTGCTGTTAGGAGGTCCCTGTCCCCCAGGTCATCTGAATGATGATGGCTCTGACACCACAAGCACATGGGCCATTCGCCTGTGATTTTAGTGAACATTTATTGATCTCCTGTTCTCAGGATGCACATTCAATGCAGGTATTTAATTGCCGGGTTCCTCACTCCTGCACAGTGAGAACGGCATGTGCTTGTTTTATGTTCATTCCTTTACTTGGGCTCTGCATCTAAAGACATTGGCCTTGAAATAGGGGTAGAAAAGGGGAGCAGTGACCCGCCGAAGCCATCGCGAACTGCCTGCTAGGCCCAGCGTCTGGACCAAGAGTCAGTGAGTGTGTGTGTCTCTCTCTCCGTAAAGGTTGTGATGTGGGACTATGTGGAACATACAAATCAAAAGCATTGGGCAGACCCTTCACAGGATATTTTCGTGGATCACACTGTGGTGTGCGAATAGGAGATGAGGCCATTCAGAGCAGACTGACCATCCTGACAGGGAGACTGCCGAGAGCTGCAGTGTTGTCTCAGAGAAAGTTCGCCAGCCCATAGGAATATAACGTGAGCTACGCAACTTAACATTGCCTGGTACCAGATCTAAAAAAATGTAAAAGGGAACAGGATCATATATCTTATTTAACACAATATATCTAAATATGCCCAAAGTATTATTTCAACATGTAATCAATATTAAAAAATCATTGCGCTGTATGTTACATTTTCGAACTAAGTCTTTGAAATCAGCGTGTGTCCCCATTCATGGCACATCTCAGTGTGGATGAGGCACGTTCAAGTCCTCACGGTCACCTGTGGCCCCAGGGTGGCTCTCCAGAGAGGCCACAGCCTCATCTCTGTCCTCGCTCTTGGCCCCTGATGGGAACAGTGATGTAGAAACCATGCCTCTCCATCTTTTTAAATGGGGTGAACTGATTTAAAATGATCTTCGCAGCCTCAAACACTGGTGCAAACCCGGGGTGTGAGATCGAAGGGTGATGCTGACCACGGAAGCGCCCGAGGCCTTGGTGGGCGCCACAGCCTGTGGGCCCTGCTAGGAGTGGGGGGTTTCAGTGATCGCCGTTTCCTCAGGTGCCTACAGAGCTGCTCAAGTGTCAGCAGCATCCTAAGCTGCGCCGCAAGGACTCCCTGTGGACGGCGGGCAACAGGAGCCCGGCCCCCTGGGTTCAGAGCTGTATTCTGGGGCCCTTGAGGTATGCAGCGCGGGCAAGGCCGCCCTCACTAGGAGGCAGCCTGGGCGGTGAGGGGCTCGGAGCCCAGGCTGCCAAGGGCTGGCGAGGTGTGTGTCAGGGGACACTAGCGGCCCCCCTGCTAGGTGTCTGGCTATAAAAGACCTGTTCTGTAGCAGGGGCGCAGCTGTCTCATAGTGGGTCCGTATGGTGGCCTGAGGCCAGTTGGTAGGAATCACAAAGAGTCAGGTGTGAGTGCAGAGTCAGAGGAAGAGTCCGACTCTGACCGCAGGGCAGTCCGGTGACAGAATTACCTGCTTTTTACGGGAGCGATCACCTTGTTCTTGGAAATGCCTAGATGCTACATAACCACTGCCACAAACGTTTGCAGGGCACAGAGCGTTTCATCCTGTCTCCTTTGAGCCACAACACAGCCGCGAAGGAAAGATGCCCATACCCCATTCATTAAACGCAGACCCTCAGAAGGGTCTGGAGTGCACCTAGACTTGCTGAAGCTGGGATGGCTTTCCCATGCTGCCAGGGCAGCTGTCCTCGGGACTGGGCTGTCCCTCTTGGTGGGCACAGGTGCTTTAGAGGGGCCGACTGTGTCGTAAGGCGCAGATGGGATGAAGTGGGGAAAACTCCTGGTAAAGTGGTAGAAAATTGATGCGGCTGAGAGGTTGGCAGAGCAGGGGAGAGGAAGCAGGCTCTCCAGGAGGAGGCTGACGTGGACGACTCTGCTGGGCTTTGCCCAGCGGGGCTGAAGATTAAACCTGCAGCCCTGACTGCAAAGGCAGTTAGCGATGGGGAGGAACTGCCACCATTGAATGGCTGAGGGAAGAAAGGGTCCAATCAGTGCACTAATAGTCATTTGCAACTGACATACCCCTGCCCAAACGTGAGCCCTTTCATCCGGGGCCAGGCTGGGTACCACAGGCCTCCAGTGTGGTGGGGATGGTCCCCACCTTCTGGGCAAGCTGGGCGAGTTGCGAGCCCGGGGCACCTGCCTGTGCTGAGGCTGCACTTGGGTCTGGAGAATGTCTTTCAAATTATCCAAACCCAGAGCTGCCAAGCAGCCAGCTGCTTCCTGCCAGGTCTGGGCAACGGCAACCTTCCCAGCTCCCCCCAAATCTTGGTTTTGGCAAGAAAAATATTACTGAACTTGAGACAGAAAAATAACTCATGTTTCTGGCCTATGCCTGCTGCGGTCTCAGCCTTCACAGGCACGTCTGTGGGTTGCCTTCTCCCCTTGCCGGAGCGCCTGGCTGTCTCAGAAGATAGCTTGCCGAGAGGCCAAAGCGCCCTTGGTTCCATCAGAGAGAAAAATGTGATGTCCCTTGGTGTGAGCCATCTGCATTTCTGGTTCACAGCAGCCAGGGCCAGCAGTGATGTGTCAGCGTCACTAATAGTGGCCTTGAGCTTTTTAAATAGTGATCTTGTGACTGTGGGGGACCCAAGAAATGCATCACGGCCTACACTTTTCAAAGCTATCTAAGAGAATCCAAAAGATGTTTCTCCTACTCACCTGAGAAGAAATAGAATTTTTATTTTGTTATTTTACTGATTTGCTATTAATGGTCTTGTCCTTTTCCTTTTTGGTTAGGACAGTTAGAAACATCTCAGCTTCCCTGCAATGCTACCTTGTGGTGCCTAAAGGATGGATCGACATCTTTGTACTTGGTGCTACAAGAAAGGGACATAGCTCGCGGGGCTGTGTGCTCTCCTGGGTGAAGCAGAAAACGTCCCCTCCTCAGCACGGAAGGCGGGAATAGCCACATGGAGGTCCCAGGGGATGTGCTGGTGAATGTGGGTTATACAGGTTTTGAGATTAATCCGTTCTGTGTTTGTGGACACACTTTGGCCTAATGTGATGTCACATGGTGACGTAAGGCGATGGGGCTAGTAGCTACTCCACGATTCTTCCAACTGCTCTTGATGCAGAGGGATCTGCACTGTTGGTCGCTGTGTTCTTCACCAGTGATGGGATGCAGGCAGGGCTGACGCAGGAGGACCAAGCCAGGTCCACAACCTGCGTGGCTCGCTCTTGAAACCCCAGCCCGGAAAAACGTGATGATACGTAGTGAGAACCTCTCTCCTTGAATTCCTGTCTTGGTAGATCAGGTATGTTGCCTACTGTTTTAACTCAATTATATTTGCTGAAAGGGTGCAAAGTGGACGTGTGGTCTGGCTGCACGTGGGATTTCCTGGCCACCGCCTGCAACCTTTATCTGCAAAACCTCTCCTCTCTCACCGACCCTCTGACACGAGGTGGGAGGACACGTGGCACCAGGTATGTGTGGTCAGGCCCCTGGCCCTTTGGCTCTGCTCTTGGAGCTCAGTGGAAAAGGGCAGCCCTGGGTGTACGTTCCTGACCTCATTCCCCGCTCTCCCCGACCTCACAGCGTCTTATGGTTCCCGTGCAGACACTGTGAATCTTGTCCTGTATGCTAGGCAATAGAGCTGAGGTACAATGGTATTCCCGGGGCACAATGGCTCCCCTTTGCTGAGCTGCTGTATGAGCACGTGCGTTCGTGGGGGCCCGCTGCACCTCGCGACTGAAATGCTCAC